AGCGTCGGCAGTCGACGAGCAGAGATCAGGGTAGTATGTTGTGTGGATCTCGATTGTTGCGGCATAATTGGCACAAGGATCACGTGTTGCCCGATAACGAGAACATATATCGCGTGCACGGAGGGAACGTGGACTTCTCGCGGCCAATAAAAATGACGGACCGAACGGAATTGAGTTCTCGTGCGCCGCGGGCCAGAAAGCAAGTAGAGTGGAAAAGCCGGTACAATCGTGGATCGGGTCGATGTGATTTAATGCAACGGGGCCCCGGTTGTACGAACAGCCGGCGAAGTCTGAGGAAAACCTAGCGACACTCTCGAATGTAATTAATGAGGTACGGTCATATGATATTACATTTGCTCTGACGATGTTAAAACATCGTTCCACGCCATTGAGAGCGCCTTTAGAAACAAAACGGAGATCATTTATGACGAATCTTTGTTCTCAGCTTCGATTTCAGTTGTTTATTTACGGTACACCGTAACCGAACCTACCTTTTCGCTCGATGCGTCCGTTACTGTGCCGCTTGCCACAGGATATGTTTATAGAACCGTAAATCTCAAATCATTGTCATATTTTTAAAGGAAAGAATTTGAAATATTTATTAAATATTTTTATAAAATATTTATTTTATAAAATAGTAAATATTTATTTATTAAATATTTTTTAGATATTAAATATTATATATTTAATATTTATTATTACATATTTTTTAAGAAATTTTATCGTAGTATTCCTCTCTAATGTGAACTTTTAAATGACTTTTTACATTGCATTATATATTATGTTATATTATAATGTTATAATATTAATATATTATTAATATATTATTATACGTATTAATATATTAATATTAATATTATATTATAATGTTATAATATTATATATAATATACATTATATATTATTATATATACTACTGAAGGATACATACGCCAATAGGGCACAGTAACTGGCCCCTGTACCCAACAACTGCATCAATCGTACCATCTGCAATCAATTGGCGATCACCCGTTTTGTATCCGCGTGACCGAAGAACGAACGAAATTCAAATTAAATTGGAAACACACCGAACCCGCGTCTCTCTTCTCGTAAAATTAGCATCGGCGAAGGTATTCTTGACTCGGCTTCCAGGGGGGATCCGAGCGCAGGAAGTTTTACATTGTCCGCGAATATACGGTGGGGGGCCCGACGGTGGTAGTAATTTCGAATGCAAAAATTTCGGGGCAAGTGGCGAAGAAAATTTTCCAAGGCTTGGCAAAAGTCAAGAGCTTAAAAAGTTCTTGCACTTGGGCGGCTCCCAACTTCCCCGGACGCAGGAAATTCCCGAATTTGGATGTCTAAGCCGTCGAACGAACTCCGATCGACTTGCACGAAAAGTGTCCCGAATATAGATTCGGCAAACCGGCAAAAATTATGTTGTCCGGGCAGCCGCGCGACGAATTTTCTTTCCGCGCGGGGCGCCCCGCTTTCGAACGAACTGCGGATCGAAATCCTGTACAGTTTCGAACGAATGTTATACGAACGTGTTCGTCCCGTTTAAGAAAAATACGAACGATTCTGCAAAGAAAAGTTACCCGTGGGATTTTCTTTGAAAAGTGTATTCACCTGGAACAGACATTTTAGAGTCCGTGTAATAGAAGTTTCCTCGGAAGCAAGTTACCTCGGAATATTTATTGACGATGATTTTACACGAGAAACCCAAGTAAGCTTCGAACGTATGAATAATTATACTATATCGTTTATTGTATAATATCGAAACAATATTCGGGAACAAAATACCTTATTTTGTTACAAGAATATCGCTCTCATATTTTATTAATTTTATTCGTGCTAAAACTTCTGCTTTCAAGAGACGTTTTTTATGTGTTCTCGTGAAAATTTATTGTATAATAAACGTTCTTGTTTTACCTGTTAACTAATTAGCTGTTGTAGTCGTCATGAGAAAAGTGTGTCAGTTACTGTAATTATGCTGAATATGTTCGATTTTCTTCACGTTTTTGTTTAAATACGACACTTCTATGCAATATATAATTTAATAAAAAATGTGTATATATATTTAATGAAAAATATCTAGCCTTCTTAACCATTTAGCTGTTCTCGAGGAGTATTAAAATAGCTAGATAATGACACAGAAGCTTCTAGACCAGGGCTGTCAAACTCAAAAGCTAACTTGGGCCAAATAAACAATGCTTAACTTTAGGTGGGCCGCAAAAAAAAATCAATGTTCATAGAAACAAATATTACAAATATATTATAAATATATATAATATTATAAATATAATAAACATATATATAATATTATAAATATAATAAACATATATATAATATTATAAATATAATAAACATATATATAATATTATAAATATAATAAACATATATAAAGTTAAATCATTGTTCACGTCCTGATACTTGACATCAAAAATGTCCATCTCGGACCGCATGCGGCCCGCGCGCCGCAAGTTTGACACCCCTGCTCTAGACTCTAGAAGTTAACGCATTATTACGCATTAGCATCGTAATTAGTTACTCGCTTGTCCGCGTTTTGGAGATTAAAGCTGAAGCTTTTTGTACTTCAGAGATTGTGTTTCCGATCGCAACGAAGATCGCTGGAAGCATAAACGAAAGGTTGCCGATAACGCCGCGTTCCGGCGGATTTTTTCGTCGCATTAATATTGATGTAATAAAGAAAAGTATCGACAAACTCTTCCAATATACCGAAAAAAAGGAGCGCGCGACCGCCACGAGCAGGCCACGGGCCGCAAAGTGTTAAAAACTACCATTTGCATGGCAAATATTTGCGGCGAGGAAGTTGAAAAATGGAGGAACGAACGCGCGCGCGCGCCCGTGTAAACGTCGCTTTATTTGGCGACGAAATTTCTGTTTCTCGCGGCTCCCGGTCGCGCGTGCGGTTGCCGCTTATTACAACGATGCCCGTCGCGGCTCGTTCGTTTTTTTTCTGTTTTCCATTAAATAACCGAATTTTGTAATTACGGGAGCGCGCGGACGAAAATGCGGAACCGGTCGAAATACGCCGACGTTCGCGATTTCCGCTACCGCGTGTCGCTCGATATCTCATAAACGATTTACTCGGCTAACATTGACTGCACGAATTCGCGGCTTGCGGTATCATCCTGTTGCTTAGGCTACTTCCGGTTTAATCATGCCGCGCGAGGCGAAGATTTAGTTTCCGGTGTTCTGTGATTTATTTTATATTATGATCTCCAGTGTTCTCTGCGATCTTTTATATATTTCGGAACGTGTACGAAATAATTTAATAAATATGACTAGATGTTCGTTAATGAATATTGAAATCAGAGAGAGAGAGAGAGGGAGAGAGAGAGCTCATGTTTTCCAGCACTCTGAAATTTCTCTTTTATCGCACGTTCGTTAATTTTCTCCGCGTTGCTAGATTGAAAACGAAATTCAATGAATCTCGCCATTGAATTCGGGAAGAAAGCTTATTCGTGATTAACGAAGGGAACACGCGGCAAAATTTAATTAACATACGCGGTATTCTTCAAAAATCATTTTCGCAGTCGATCTGCACGAGTTTCTGCACGATTTATCTTCCACGATTAAGAACGTCTGTAAAATCGTTCGAAAAAATTTCGTTCATTGCTTAATTTACATTGATTCAAAGATCGGAACTTCCTTTTCAAAATGATCCCGTAAAAATGTACCGATCATTCTTTATTCGAGCAATATTTCGATCTAGACAACTATCGATTCGCTCGAAATTTGATTCGTTAATGTTGAATCAAATCTCCTTCGTCCTTTATCGTCTATCCGAATAAAATTTGCTCTGCTCGCTATGTTCCATAAAAATGAATTATCGTCCAATTATTATCATCATAACGTATTATAAATTATTATTATTATCATTAAAAAGCTTATTCGTAATTAACGAAGAAAACACGCGGGATATTTTAATGAACATACGCGGTGTTCTTCAAAAATCATTATCGCAGTCGATCTGCACGATTTTCTGCACGATTTAATTTCCACGATTAAGAAAATCGTGGATAAAAATCTATAAAATCTCTAAAATCTCTAAAATCGTTCGAAAAAATTTCGTTCATTGCTCAATTTACATTGATTCAAAGATCGAAACTTCCTTTTCGAAATGATCCCGCAAAAATTTACATTCTTTATTCGAGCAATATATCGATCTAGCCAACTATCGGTTCGCTCGAAATTTGATTCGTTAGTGCCGAATCAAATCTCCTCCGTCCTTTATCGTCTATCCGTCATCGGAATCAAATTTGCTCCGCTCGCTATATTCCACAAAAATGAATGATCATTAAATTATTGTTATTATCATTAAAAGTATGAGGCCAGGTGTGGCCCGCAGACGCGAAGAGGCAGAATGCTGGAGCTGTTAACGACCATGAGCGCCGCCTGTAACATTAAACTCGCGAATGGGAAGCAAGGTTTAGCGAAAGCTGCTTAAATTTCTCGGAAAAATTTTGCAATTCTTTTTTTTGTCCAGCCGGTCGCAGCTTATTGTTACATCTTGGGGGACCGGGGAACGCGGTAAGCTACTTCCGGCCGGCCCCGGCGACTCGAGCCACTTCCGGTCTGCGTTTAATTTCCTCGTAAGCGGCTCGAGGCGGACTCGATCCCGCGGTATCGGGTCGAGACTGAAATTCTAGATAAAGCCTACATCGATCGCGGGCTCGCGCGGCTATCGCCATTTCCGCGGCGGCCTTCGGCCACGGTTACATAATTTATGCAAAGACGCCGCGTGCGCGAGCGACGACAGTCTGCCAGCGGCTAACGCGATTCCCGGCGCCCGGGTCATGTTGCTCCTCGATTTTCGCGACCGCTGTTTTCGGCCGCGGCGAAAACGTCGATCCGCGGCGAGAACGACGGAACATTTCGATCGTCGATCCGATCTACGGAGCAGCTCCCGTTTCCGGTTTACGTAACCGTGGTTTATACGGTTCTCTCTCTCTCTCTCTCTCTCTCTCTCTCTCTCTCTCTCTCTCTGTCGTCGATCGCTCGATCGTTGGACGGTCTAGTTCTGCCAGGGAGCGACCTGTGAATGGGCGCGAGTGTTGCCGCGACGCGATTCGACAGTGCCGAAAGATTTTTCTGCGATTGATTTGAGGGTGAGTGTGGGTGTTACTGCGGACGCCCCTAATACTGCGGTGTTTTATAACAGTGATAAAGTGTAACATTTTATAGCGATGAGTATAGTGTAAAGTCTAACTTTGAAGTCACTTTATAGTGTAAAGTAGATCTTCTAGATATAGTTGTAGATCTTCTAAAAATGAATCTCGTAATTTTTTATATGTTTCATGTTGGTAATTTATGACGTGCAAGTTACGGCAATCGCGGTTTTAATTTATTTATTGACTGTTGATATTCGGAAGCTTGTGAAAACGGCAGCTGTGAACGCTGATTCGAAAGGCATTTATATTTTTGTAATTAATAATAAGCTGTTCATTTTAGCATTGTTTTTAGATAAAGTAATTGATAAAAAAAGATCGACGTACGCTGTCGTGGCCATCTGTCCTCGAATATTATTTACTAACACAGTATTTGGCGCACAGTTTTTTTCTATATGTGTACATTACTGCGATGATTTATCGAACTGAGTACCCTAACCTATTACAGTTCAGTTCTCGGAGTACCTATACCTAATTTGTAAAGTGCTACAGTGATAATATCTTGATCTTAGGAATCGTAGCTGTGTGTGTACATTTAAAAGAAAATGGGTTATGTCAGCCTTGACGCGCAGTAATCGGAACGTCCGCAGTATTTGGCACGCAGTAATAGACACATAACTGCAATAATATATGCACGCGTATTGAGGAAAGTAAATATTCAAGTTAAAGAATAATAGGTATAGCTCGAGTTGTGAATTTATTGGCGTAAAGTGCCTTATTTTCTTTGTCGAAGTTCGCCTTCATTGAGAAACCGCAGTAATACGTACACTTATCCTAGTGCTGGACTGCTTCGGTAGTGGTCGATTCGAGTGGATCCCGCCGGTGGTGTATAGATCCTTTCGTTTCGGTTGAAAATTGTTATCTGTGGAAGCACGTGCTATGGAAAGATATGAGAAGGTGCAGAGAAAGAACACGTTGGATGTTCTCTGAAATTCGAGGATCGACGATGGTGAGTCTCGATAGAAAAGGATTTACGATTTCTTGGATGTAGCGGATTTTTAAGAAAAATGTTCTTCGGCGATCTACGGCGACAAAATAATAATAACGTAGGCCACATTTTTTTTTCATTGTGTGGAACAAGGAGTGTCATTTTTTTTTAACATGTGTATTTATAAAGTATTAATTTATTAAGTTAATTCATAGTAACTTTATTATTTATTTTGGCGTCACTATGATCATCACCTACTCAGAAATAGAAAAATTAAACTGTGTTTCGTTTAGCAATCATTTTAACAAGTTGAAGATAACGTAAAAGGATTTTTATTGTTATTTGATCTACTCATTTTTATCATAATTACGTATAATCCCTAGTTTCTGATTTTAAATAATTTTTAATTTTTAATTTAATTACTAAATTTAGAAATAACTTAAATTAAATTTAATAATAATTATTATTTAATGTTAATAATAATTATTATTTAATTTTAGTAATAATTATTATTTAATTTTAATTTAATTTAAAAATTTTAAAATAACCTTAATATAAAGGAAGAAAATGTAGTTTGTCCTCGAAAAGTATACTTTTTTCTTTCACACATAGCCATCTTTTCATTTCTCCAAATTCAGAAAAAAATCTTTGAATAATAGATAGCCGTTAGCACAGTTGATAAGAAAAAATCCGACGTCGTTGTTTCGCTCACGTTTCGTGTAAACTGCATAAATCTGAATCAACTCGAATATTTATTCATCGTGCATTGAAGTAAAACTCGGCAAAGGTCTTCCATGTATCTGTTAACGCTACTCTTGGATCTGATTGAACTGTATAGTATTCGCGTTACAGTACATATGAATACGCGAGTTCATTCGTGATCGGTCAATAATGTTTTCGATCCGAGTTCTCCAACCCATCCATTCACGAGTTTAATTAACTCAACGTAAAGACACGGGCGCTGAACATTTCCATGAATGAGATTAATCAATGTATAATTTGAATTGTGACTATCAATTAGGACGTAGGGAGTACGTACGAGAATTTTGAATTTAATCATCGCCGGTGAAATGTTAATCAATTATGTGCCAGAAAATACATACCACGCTGTTGTTACATCGTTAACGTTGCGCACTTTCAACAGCGATTCAACAATGTGCTTTCCGAAATCGGAACATTCGATAAAATCCTGATCCCACGATCATCTCTAATTTCTAATCGTTTCCAATGATTAATCTCCGGAACCCAAACAAATGCTCAAGGTAAAGTCAGCAATCTTCAAAAATGCAGTCGGCTCTCTCAACTGCATTCAACGCTTATCGTATTCGTACAGAAGACGCAAATGCGTTCACCTGCTGTCGCATTGTTTCAACGAAAAAAAAAAACGTCGTCGTATAATGCACTGTGTCAAAAAGAAAGCGAATCTACAAGCACGCGCGAACAATGGAAATTCTGCCGTAGATCAAAAGAACTCAGGCTCGGCCTCGCCGATTGTTTCCGATCGGTTGTTCGTCGGTTAATTCACGGAGAACAAGCCCATAAAGAACGCGGACGCTAAACGAAGAAGAATGGCGCCGAAAAAAAGCGTAAAATCTTCACAATGGTTTCCGGTCACAAGGTTCGATACCGAAAATCGCGGGTCCTCTCGATGGGTCACGTCATTCGATGCCGAGTGTCCCCGATGTCACGCGTACAAACGCGCGCTGCCCGTTGCCCGCTTGTCTGTGTCTGTGTACGCGTGTGTGTGCGTGAATGCGCGAGGGAGCGGCAGAATGCAAAAATTAATCGAGAGATGGTCCAATGAACCGTAAGCTCGATACAAATCGAAACACGTTGAGTGGAAATTGCCGGGGCGAGGTTTTTCGCCGGCCGGGCCGGGGCCGCTCGTTTGTTTAATCGCTTATTCGTACGATCGATTATCGGCCCACCGTGATTAATCATTATCGGTGTGTTATCGCGAGAAACGTTCGTCGTTTATCGGCGGAAAACTCGAGCGGATTAGGCAGGGGGTAGCGGTCCGCGCGTTTCGTGGCCCGGCCGAAAATAAAAAGGAGACACGATGCCGGGGCAGGCGCCGGGCATCGGTTTAACCCTTTCGGTACGAGCGCGTTGTCCGCCGTGACGCTCCCACTGTTACGGGGTGCCGCGCCGAAAATGCGCACATAACGCAGGGTCAGTCCACCTTTTGTACGAAAATTTTCTTAAGCGTTAAGTAGTGACTGTGCTTAACCCCTTAACGTGCACGCTCGAGTTAACTCGAGCGCGCTAAACTGGCCAAACTGTGCGCACTCGAGATAATTCGAGCGGCGTTGTACTTTATGTTGCTATAATTTTTCACGCTCGAATGCAATCGAGAATTGAAAATAACGATGTGAAAGCAAAAAAAAAACAATCGTTTTATTGATATTTATCATTTACATGGGATTGTAAGCTGTAACACTTACTTATTCGAGTATAAACTATATCCTTTTTCTACTTATCACTTACGACTTATCTCTTCCTTGTGAGCCGCTATCCGACAGCGTATTCATATTCGGATTCTGATTCGCTCATTTTTCAATATATATTTTACTAAAATATAATGTAAAATAAAATATAATAATAATAATAATAATAATAACAATAATAATAATAATAATAATCTGAAAATTAGAAATCATACCAATTGTATAAATATCCATCATTTTTGTATTTTTGTAATTTTCTTGCCAAGACAACGTTCTAGATTGTGTTTTTTTACATTAAAAAAAATTGATTTTTGTTGGCCGGCCTTTTTCAAAAAAACTGTGCATTAAGGGGTTAATCCGTTTCTAAATCTTTTGTTTCCTGTAAACATTCTGTAAAGGGCCTACAATATATTAAAATCTATGAACAAGTTTCGAAGAAAAATGTAACCTAAAATTTTTTTTAATCAATTCAGATCAAACGACGATTATACATGTAGCTGTTTTTCCGGAATCCTTGTAAGAAAAGACTTTATCCGTTCGAGTCCCAGGGATTATTCAGAAAACACGGTCGAAAGATGCCGAACAGCATGATAGCGCTGCTTGGGACTCAAACGGTTATTAGAATAGTTTCTAATATGTCAGAAATATGGCTTNTAACGATGTGAAAGCAAAAAAAAAACAATCGTTTTATTGATATTTATCATTTACATGGGATTGTAAGCTGTAACACTTACTTATTCGAGTATAAACTATATCCTTTTTCTACTTATCACTTACGACTTATCTCTTCCTTGTGAGCCGCTATCCGACAGCGTATTCATATTCGGATTCTGATTCGCTCATTTTTCAATATATATTTTACTAAAATATAATGTAAAATAAAATATAATAATAATAATAATAATAATAACAATAATAATAATAATAATAATCTGAAAATTAGAAATCATACCAATTGTATAAATATCCATCATTTTTGTATTTTTGTAATTTTCTTGCCAAGACAACGTTCTAGATTGTGTTTTTTTACATTAAAAAAAATTGATTTTTGTTGGCCGGCCTTTTTCAAAAAAACTGTGCATTAAGGGGTTAATCCGTTTCTAAATCTTTTGTTTCCTGTAAACATTCTGTAAAGGGCCTACAATATATTAAAATCTATGAACAAGTTTCGAAGAAAAATGTAACCTAAAATTTTTTTTAATCAATTCAGATCAAACGACGATTATACATGTAGCTGTTTTTCCGGAATCCTTGTAAGAAAAGACTTTATCCGTTCGAGTCCCAGGGATTATTCAGAAAACACGGTCGAAAGATGCCGAACAGCATGATAGCGCTGCTTGGGACTCAAACGGTTATTAGAATAGTTTCTAATATGTCAGAAATATGGCTTACATGTATTCGGCACTCGTCCATATTGGTCATCGGATGGATGCCGGATATATCCGGCGCTCGTACCGAAAGGGTTAACGAAAACAAATTTGCTCATGGGGTGCCCCGTGGGCCGCACGGTGTCACTTAAATCCGAAAACTTTTCGGCCGCCGCGGGATGCTCGCTCGAGCGACCGAGGGAAAAACTTGCAGCTTCGTTAAATTAAATTCCCAACGTCTCCGCGAAAAGTTGCGCCGAACGTCCGCGAGTCCCGAACGGACGATTTCGAAATTTTCCCTCCCCCGGCGAAAGTTTCTCCCGCGAAGACGTAGAAACCAGGAATCGACGCGACGTTATCCCGGCGAAAATATTTTTGGAACCAACGCGTCCGGAAGATCCCGGAAGGTCCCGGTGAAAATATCTCGCGGCGCGGGGAATTTCGAAAATTCCCCGGCACGGCGAAGCCCTAAATCAAGAGATCCCTAAAACTGCCCGCAAAACCGGGTCGAGTCGAACTTTCTCCGCGAATCTGGGACTCCGGTAATTTCCCCCTGGTATCGCTGCCGCGTTCCAATAAATCACCAGGAACTCCCTATGTGTCCCAAAGTATTTATGAGCGCACCCCGCCGCGGCGCGGCGCGGCTTTGAAAAATCGATTTTCTTTACAGCTCCTTGCGGCTTTATACTTTCGAAACAGAGAGGAGGCGATCTGCTAACAGAAATGTTTTCCCAGCCGACGATCTAATTCACCTAAAACATCGTAAATCACGTTGTCGCCGTAATTCATCTCTCCTTTTTTTTTTTGTTATCCAAATGTTTACGGCCGCAATCGTCGCGTTAGGTACGCGCAATTATTTTTCATTTACCAAGCGAGTCCGCCTGCGAGCGTTTTAAAACGATTACATTCGTTTTAATCGCCGTCGATCGTTGATCGCAATTAACGATTCAATCTCTCTCAACTGTTGTTGGCCGCGTTTAACGGGAATCCGATGTCGTCCGGTAGAAAAAAAATGTAATAAAGCAATGAACGCGATAAAGACGATACAGCCGGAATTACGCAAATGTATCATTTTTCGATTCCATTCGAAAATCAACGATGATCAATCGGCTCTTTCAATCGACAATCGACGATGATACGTTTCATCGTCGAACGTCGACTTCTCGACGATTAATGCCTTCAATCGTTTTCATCGATCATTCAACCG